CCTCCTTGTCCTCCCCCAGGGCTGTTTGTCATGGAGCACCACAACCTGCCAGATGTCAGGTCCTCTTTGGTAACTCCAGAGCACCTGGGAGGCATCGAATTTGCCCTGCAGCTGCTGTGGAGCGCTCAGACTTTTGATTCTCCCTACCAGCTCTGGAGAGCAACCAGCTCCTACAACTGAGGTGAGGGTTGGGGGTGCAGTCCCCTCCAGTAGATTCCCCCACAGCACCACGTTCTCCCTGGCACCCCTCCAGCAGCCACGCCAGCAATAGCACGGAATGCTCAGGAGCTTGGTCAGAGCTGGAGCACTGTTGTACTGAGAGAAAAATCAGCTCAGTCTCTTGGAAAGGAATTTTTCCAGCAGTGAAGCCTGTGGATAGACAGATCCCAGAGTCACACTTGTCCCTTGGGGACTGCTGGATGACATTGCTGGGGCAAGGGAGAGGTGCTGCCCTGGGTGAAGAGCTTTGAGCTCTGCTTGGTGACTGCAGGGTCTCCTGTCTGTTCCCAGGAAGGTTTACTCTGGAGAATACACCATCTTCCTGATACCCTGCACGGTGCAGCCCACGCAGCCGTGGGCAGAGCTTGGAGCCAAGCCCCTGCCCTGCACGGCTCATGCTCCCGAGCGGTAAGAGGGCAGGAGGGCAGGCTCGGCCTCTTTGGGGTGCACACCTGTCCAAACCTCATCTCCCCTTTGTGTCCTTCCTTGTCCCAATTGCAGGTTTTTGATCCCGATCTCCTTCCAGCAGACAAACCGCCCACTTCCAGTTGTTTACTCCCTGAACACAGAGTTTCAGCTCTGTAACAACGAGAAGGTTTTTCTAATGGACCCCACCAAATCAGAAAGGTCTCTGGCAGAAATGGATTACAAGGGGGCTTTTCCAAGGGTAGGATTTACCTCTCCTCTTCTGCTTGTGCCCAGTGTTCCTGCTTTCACAGCTTCCATTCCCTGGAGAGGAAAGGACAGAACCCACGTGTAGCTTTGCCTCTTCTACAGCAGTAATTGACATCTTACAGCCCTGTGAAAGAACAGCGTGCTCTGGCACCGCGTTTTGTCAGTCCCACACACTGAGCCCTTCCCAAACAACCCAAACCCTTCTGAACACGGACACTTGGCTCTAGCAGCATTTTCCTGCTTGGGAAATTTCACCTGCCCCTCTTTGTCCCGACCTCCCCAGGGCAGATCCTGTACGGGCGTGTGCTCTGGCACCCCGAACAAAACCTCAACGCCGCTTACAAGCTGCAGCTGGAGAAGGTCCACCTGTGCACAGGCAGGGCTGGCTACGTGCCCCTCTTCGACCCCACGGGCACCG